CTCTCTCTCTCTCTCTCTCTCTCTCTCTCTCCCTCCCTCTATCTCCCTCTCTCCGATCTTCTCACCTGGCAAGCTGGCTTCAAGCTGTTCTCAAGCTCAGGGGTAGGCAACCTTGGCTCTTTTATAACTCGTGGACTTCAACTCCCAGAATTCCTGAGTCAGCATAGCTGGGCTAGCTAGCTCTCTCCTGCCCTTCCTGTTTCCTGCTTCCTGCAGAGACGCAGCAAAGGGAGGAGCTCCGCCCAGTAAGCTTTTCAGCTCGTAGGACAGTGGTGGCGAACCTATGGCACAGGTGCCAGAGGCGGCACTCAGAGCCCTCTCTGTGGGCACGCGCGCCATCGCCCCAGTCCTAGGCCTTCAGCTGGGTTTTATAAAACCTTTTCGCTTTAGGCCTCCGCTGCCGTGTCAAAAAAAAAGGTTCAATCAATCAGTCAATTTCAACTTCTCGCGGGAAAAAAAAAGATCTTGCAAAGTTGGAATTGATTGATTGAACTTTTTAGTCCCACCCAGTCTGCTGTTACCACCACAGCCACGCCCACCCAATGGGCCACACCCACCTGGCACCCGATGATGCATAACTGGGTTTTGGGTTGCACTTTGGGCACCTGGTGTCTAAAAGGTTTGCCATCACTGTCGTAGGAGAACACACTCTCTTTTACACACACACACACACACACACACAGAGAGAGAGACAAAGAGAGAAGCAGGGAAGCGCAAGTGCCTCTCTCTGTCTCTCTCTGCAAATGGCAGAGGAGGCTGGGAGCCACAGGGGAAGGCTCAAAGAGCCGCATGCCACTCTGGAGCCGCAGGTTGCCGACCTGTGGTCTAGGGCTAGGCTACTTGCACCCATATATGCAGTTGATGCTCCAACAATCTGTTATTTTTCTCTATGCAGTTTTGGCAAAGTTAATCAAGACCTACGTGGATACTATCTGTAGAGGGGAAGTTCCCTGCCTGGAGAACGCCGTCGTGGCCTTGGCCAAGATTGAGAACAGGGCAGCCCTGCAGGAAGCTGTTGGTCGCTATGCGGAACTGATGGACCAAGATTTGCAGATACCCACCGAGAATCTCCAGGAACTTCTGGATGTACACAAGAAATGTGAGGAACAAGCCCTTCAGATGTTCATGGCTCGTGCCTTTAAGGATGATAAACATCAGTTCCAGGTTGAACTCATGGTAGGTAATTGTAAGAGACAAACAATCATAGACAATGTTTATTTGCATCAGAAGCATCACAGTTAAAATAAGGCATATGATACGACATAAAATATAAGATACAAGATTAAAATATCTACAAGTTAAATAATTCTTGCCCAGAAACTAGCAACATTAATTGCATGATCAGGACACAAAGGACAGATGTGATCAGGACACAAAGGACAGATATACATATCTGTTGTCTGCTTGTCACCACAATCGCAAAAGGAAGAAGCTACATGATAGCCACATTTGTGCAGATTGTCTCTGGATTTTGTATCCATGCACAGTCTATTCAACAATTTCCGTACTTCACACTTTTGCCAGACTTGAGTGCCAGCTTCTCTTCTGATTCCATCAGCTGATGGTTCTTTGTAGCTTTCTATAGGCCCTCTACTCATAGACAGTATTTAGGGCTTATGGGTCCTTGGGATCTGGTATCTTGGCCTCCAGTATTTTCTATATAAGAGCAGATACGTAGACAATATTTAAGACCTGTGGTGGCATATAGTTGGCCTCCAGTAGTTTCTCTATAAAAATACAGAATATAGTATTCTTGTTATAGTTTCACACAAGTTGTGTAAATGTTCTTCATCAATTGGAGGATGGCTGCAGCCAGGTGTTTAGAAACATGCCTGATTGCCTAGAAGGATAAAAAATGGATGCTGGAAGGAACATCCAGGATGATTGACAGGATGGCAAGCAATATCATCAGCCTTTTTGGACACTTATGTTCCTGCTCTAAGAATTCACTCGCAGAATTCCAGAGAATTCACTCGCAGAATTCCAGAGCCAGCAGTGCTGGCTGTGGAATTCTGGGAATTGAAGTCCGTACATCTTAAAGCCACCAAGGTTGAAAAACACTGCTCTAGTTCAATTGAAGGAAGAGCATCTGCAATTTCAAATTGTGATGAAGCTCTATTTAATCATGGGAGACCACCCAAATCTATGCAGTGTAAAAAGATGCATTTACCGTATTTGTCAAGGCTCACCTCTTGCTTTGTTATATTTTATCCCTACCAGAAAACTGTGGAGAGCAAAAAGGAAGAATACTGCAGCAAAAATGAGCTGAAATCTTCTGAAATCTGTTCAGCTTTATTGAACTCACTATCTGAGAACTTGGAGAAGAACATCAACGACGGAAGCTACTCCCGAGCTGGTGGCCACCAGGAATTTCTAAATGACCTTCAAAAAGTGGAGGAACAATTCTTGGAGACACCTAAGAAAGGAATAATGGTACAAAATGAGGAGGGTTGCTAAATTAATACTCATTTTGTCTTTTTGTTGCCCACTTGATAGCTGTGCCATCCTCCAGGGAGATTGTTTAGTGCCTAACTTTGACAAAGCTTCCTTTTCATTGCTGGCACTCCAGATTATTCTTTTTGTCCCCCTTCAATCAGGCAGGGAAGTTCCTGAGAAAATTCCTCCAGGGCAAGGAAGTCATCGGCAAAACCATCCTTAAAAGTGACATAAGCATTCAAAAGAAGGAGAAGGAAATAGAAGGTAAAAGCGTGAACAAGTTGTGAAATGATGCTGGGCTGTTGGTTCTGCTTTGAAGCTGGGAAAAGACTTGTTTATCTTTAAAGCTATCACTAATTGGGAAAATGCTTTCCTCTCTACCCCAAAGGAGCTTTTTCAGGAGCAACTGGACTTTCTTTGTTTTTCCTTGAAGAAGTTTCGCTTCTCATCCAAGAAGCTTCTTCAGCTCTGACTGGATGGTGGGGAATGGATGGGTTTATATTTCTTGCAGACAGCTGGTTATTTGTCTTCTTTTAGAGCAGGGGTGTGAAACTCAATTTCATTGAGGGCCGCATCAGCATTGCGGTTGCCCGGGGTGTGTGTGGCTACTGGGTGGGCGTGGATGGAGTGGGTGTGGCCTACTGGGTGGGCATGGCCAGCTCTACATCGTTCGCGTCAAGGGGGCCTGTGGGGGCCTGGGCAGGAGTGGGACAGATCTAAGGGTCTCTGGCAGAAGGGGGTGGGACCAAGGCAAGCGCCAAGGCATGGTCCATTTCTTCATTCCTCACAAACGGTGACGCCTCCCCAGCATGCACCCAGGGGACGGGGACGACGCGGCAGGGGCTGGTTCCTCGCTGTTTCCAGACGGCTTTGTGGAGCTAAGACTGAATGCCTTTCAGCATAGATGGCCACCACAAAATTGTACATTGGCTCCCGGCCAGCCTGGACCAGGGCCAAGGCAGAGGGGGCCGTTCCCTCACTGTTTCCAGGATGGCTTCGCAGGCCACATGACACCACTTCACGGGCCGCATCCGGCCCCCGGGCCTTGCGTTTGACATGTCTGCTCTAAGTGGCCTCAAGGACTCTCTAAAATAATGCAAATGTCCAGCTATCTGCAAGGAATATAAATCCTTTGACTCCATACTTATTTATCACGTTATTTGCATACTATCAAGTCTAGCCACCTTGCACGCCCCTTGCAGATGTTTGTTCCCCCCCCCCCCCCCCGGTTTTAGATGAAAAAATGAAGGCCAAAGCCAAAGAGCAAGAACAGGAGGCCCAGGAGCAGGAAATGGAAATGTTGAAAGAGAAGTTGGAGGCCCAGAAACAGAGTCATGAGATGAACCTTCAGAAATTAAAGGAGAAGATGGTGGAAGAAAGGAATCAGAGAAAGGCAGAGAACGATAAGATGATTGAACAGAAACTCAAGGTAACACTATTATCTCAGCAACGGTTTGCTGTAGTTTGGCAGTCAGGTGTTAACAAATATGCAGACTTTCAAAACTGAAAAGCAATAGATTTAGAATAAGTACAGGTAGTCCTCGACTTACAACAGTTCATTTAGTGACCGTTCAAAGTTACAGCATCACTGAAAAAAGGTGACTTATGACTGTTTTTCACACACCCACAACTGTTTTAGCATTCCCAAGGTCACGTGATTTACCTTTGGATGCTTGACAACTGAGTCACATTTATGACGGTTGCAATGTCCCAGAGTGAGATGATCCCATTTTGTGACCTTCTGACAAGTAAAATCAATGGGGAAGCCAGGTTCATTTAACAGTCGTGTTAATACCTGTGCCAAGTAAGGTCCTAAAATGGGGCAAAAACTCACTTAATAAATGTCTCGCTTGGGAACAGAAATTTTGGGCTCAATTATGGTCGTAAGTCAAGGACTATCTTGTATTGACAGTGAAGATATTGAAGTGGACAGTGTAAAAGCAGCAACAGTCAGGAAATAGGCCATGGATGAGCACTTGAAAGAGGATCTGTATCTACAAGGATCTACAAGGATCAGAACTGTGTATTTATTTTCCTTTGATTTCTGATTTCCAACTGACCTCACGCAGGCTGGACAGGGACCTCCAAAGGGCTGGATGTGGCCCGTGGGGGGGGGCATAAAATGGCCAGGTCTGTTCTTGAACCTGGTCTGCAATGCTAAGTCACATGTTTTGTTTTCAGTCTAATAACTTTGACGTTTGCTCTGTCTGCAGGAACAACAAGCTTTCTTGAAAGAGGGTTTTGAGCAGGAAGCAAACCAACTGAAAAAGGAGATTAAGCAGCTCAAAAAGGAAAATGAAGCCATGGAAGAACCAAGTTGGATCAGCTCAGCTTTGGAAACTCTGGGAAATGCACTCGCTGACGCAATGCCCATAATTTGGGATAAAGTTCTGGATGCATTTCCTGAACTGATCAAGTATTTCGAATCAGAACTGATATTCTTATTTCAAAAAGTTCTAGGAAGTGCTTCTACTTCCTAGATTCTTTCCCAGGAGGTGCCTCTACTTCCTAGATTCTTTCCCAGGAAGTGCCTCTACTTCCTAGTTTCTCTCCCAGGAAGTGCCTGTACTTCCTAGATTCTCTCCCAGGAAGTGCTTCTACTTCCTAGATTCTCTCCTAGGAAGTGCCTCTACTTCCTAGAAATGACCTGGTTGCATTCTTGCTACAGTTATTTTAGATCCGTTCTGTACATTTAAATTCATGCCATTCACATTCATTCTCAGACTTTAGGGACATTTCTTTAAGAAGCTGGAGATTTGATTTCAAAGCTTCATAGGCTTCTTGGAATGCCACAAGTTAAGTTCAGGCTTTATGTTGAGCTCCTGTTTGTTTTAATCTTGATGTTTTGAATCGTGTCTGCAGGGGTTTATATAAAGCCCAAATTTGAGCCCATCACTTAAATGCTAATAGACCGGCTCTTTCAACACCCACCCAATTTAGGTGCTACATCTGAATGCTCTTTGCATAATTTATTTTACTTTCCCTGACAATATTGATCAGTGTTTTTCAACCTTGGCAAGATTTAGACATCTGGACTTCCACTGCCAGAATTTCCTGGGCACTGATACGGATTTTTAAATATTTTCTTTAATAACAGTTTTATTGTGTTTGTTGAGTGAGAAGCCTATTTACACTAGTTCATTAACAGAACTTCCAAACTCCTAGAGTTCTGAATATTTTATTTTCACTGTTAACCTGTGCATTTAACCTTGTTCTTAATTCTATTTTTAACTGTTCTTATCCCACTGAAGCATGGGATAACTAAATATCAATGTTTTTGCATTGCAACTGAGGCACATTAAGAAAGTACTTGCTTTAGCATATGACACCAGTGAGATTGGCAAAAATGTTTAAAAATACTTCAAATAACTGTTGGAAATGCAAACATTATTGTATCTGGTAGACATACCCTAAAGCAAAAAGATTTTGGGTTAAAATACATTTATGGTTGGAGAAAATGACTAAAAAAACAAATAGACTTTAAACCAGAATTATTTTTGTTAGGAATAATAGGAGCAAATTATGAGAAAGATTGCAGATATTTAATATTACACCTACTAACGGCAGCAAGAATTGTATTTGCCCAACACTGGAAAAATGAAAACTTAGCAGCTGAAGAAGTACTAATTAAGAAAATTCTAGAATGTGCAGAAATGTATAGATTGACTTTAAAGATAAAAGAGAAAGAAGACTCCGTGTGCTTTAGAACATGGGATAATTTCTATCAATGGCTTGAAAAACGAGTCAGAGAGAAAGGAATGTGATATGTAATTTTGAACATATATTAGCAAGAAGGCTATTGAGTGATCAATTAACATTGTTTATGATAATTAACTATTATCTATTATTGTTTGTTCAATACATGAACCCAGACATGCTGTTTGCTAAATATTGAGAATGTTATTTTGAAAAAACCCAACCCTAACCTTAATCCTAGCCCTAACCCAAATCCCAACCCTGACCCCACCTTATTCCTAACCCTATAAAAACTAATAAAATCTATACAATAAAAAAAAACCTTGCTTTAGAACTAAAGTTCCAACATAGATTTGAAAGACAGCTAGACATTTTTGACAACCCATCATGGCGTTTTCAACACCTGCTCAACCTCCGGGTCTGCAGCTAGACAGAAAATCCAAAAGTCTGGCACGCCTATTGATGGGAACCACAACACCATGGAAGGATCTGGTTGTAATCAATAGTTCCCGTGTGGGTCAAACCATGAATTGATCCGTCAAATGCTGGATTTGTTTTTCCCTGGTGTGAAGAGCTCTGCTCTTGGGATTAAATCACATAAATTAAGAGAGCCCTAATTGGCATAGCTTTAAACACTTGTGAAAAACCAAAGATCATGATCATTAGCAAGCAAGGGACAACAAGCAATAAAGTATTACCATATTAAGGGTGGCCCTCCCAGAAGCGGGTTCAGTACTAAAATATTACAGCCCTTGCCCTGTACAGTATAAAGTCCACATAAGTTGGCTTCCTTAAGCTTTTAAATTCTTGTTCTGCATTTCAGAAACACGGGAGAAGAAAAATATCGGTTTCAAAAGCGATTCAGTTATTTCTCAAAACAAGGCATCCATTTTTTTCAGGCTTCTGCATGGATTTTTTTTTAAAGACGTCCCTGCTTTAAGAGTTGTATAATTTTTCAGGAGTCTTTTTTTTTTCCTTCAAAAGAAGTGAGAAACTAAAAGCGGGCTGGAAGAGCAAAACAAGATAATTAGGACAAAGTCCCAGGCATTTGCAATAAATTCACAAATCAGCTTGGGTTGGGTTGCCCGAGAATCATTTAGAATATAGATAAGAGATGGAACACGCTCAGATAATAATCTAGCCCCCAAGAGATTTATGTTTCCTGATTGAATCAAAGTTGGTTCCTTTTAGCTGAGCTGGGAAGACTTCAGATTAAGGGGGTAAACATGTAGCAATTCATTTCTTGGAGGCTGGATGGAGGATATATTTATAATAAACAGCTACATTAATTGCTCTTTGTTTGTATACTAGTGCAGGGGTGTCAAAATCAATTTCATTGAGGGCCGCATCAGCATTGCGGTTGCCCTGGAGGTGTGTGTGTGGCCTACTGGGTGGGCGTGGATGGAGTAGGTGTGGCCTACTGGGTGGGTGTGGCCAGCTCTACATCGTTCGCATCAAGGGTGCCTGTGGGGGCCTGGGCAGGAGTGGGGCAGATCTGAGGGTCTCTGGCAGAAGGGGGTGGGACCGGGGCAAGCGCCAAGGCATGGTCCATTTCTTCATTCCTCACAAAGGGTGACGCCTCCCCAGCATGCACCCAGGGGACGGGGCCGACATGGCAGGGGCTGGTTCCTCGCTGTTTCCAGACGGCCTTGTGGAGCTAAGACTGAATGCCTTTCAGCATAGATGGCCACCACAAAATTGTACATTGGCTCCCGGCCGGCCTGGGCCAGGGTCAAGGCAGCGGGGGCCGTTCCCTCACTGTTTCCAGGATGGCTTCGCGGGCCACATGAAACCACTTCGCGGGCCGCATCCGGCCCCCCGGGCCTTGTGTTTGACATGTCTGTACTAGTGGCTTGCTCTGTCAGTGAGGATGGCAGCATTGATGGTGGCTCCACTCCTTTGTAGCACTGATGCTGTTACGTAGTTGGATAATGAAACGTCTGCAAGAAACAACCAAGCTCAGAGACCACCAGGGACCATACAAGTTGTAGGTTGTTGGTGCAAACCCCATGTAGCTCATGGCTTTCAACAAGAGCAGCAGCACAACCGTACCAGTAACATGCTTGAACATATAATGAGTTCCAATAACTCCAGTCCCCCCCCCTCTTTCCAGCCTTTCCTCCAAGTTATGGTGTGACAAGTGGCAATTCCTTCCCAACACGTCTAGTAGACGGTGGTGCCGCACCCATCTCCTCTCCTTCTCTGCAGTTTCAATTTGTGCACTTTTTAAAACTATTAACAGCTTAGGTACAATATCAGATGCATCTGTATTAGGTTTTTTTTTATAATCACAGTGCTTAAAATATTTATCAGCAACATATTGTCTGGGTTTCAATGTCTAATTTACTAATACATATTAAGTTCCTTTCGCTCTACCTCATTTATCTAGCCAATTATAAAAAGTATTCCATGTTCTAAACTAAACTGAATCTCCTTTCATTATTATTGTCAATCTATCCATTTCTGCGCACTCTTAAGGTTTTTTTAATGAACGCTTCCTCCGCTGGTAATTCTTCATTTTTTTCCATTATTGAGTAAATACAATTCTTGCTGCAGTTAATATATGTAAAATTAAATAAATACACTCTCATCACCACCTACAATTATACCTAATAAAAATAATTCTGGCTTAAACTCTATATGTTTTTGTCATTTTGGCTTAGATACAATATTGCAGGGGGATCTCTTCAAAATAGTAATAATAACAACAACAACAACAACAATAATAATAATAATAATAAAGTTGGAAGGGACCTTGGAGGTCATCGAGTCCAACCCCCTGCTCAGGCAGGAAACCCTATACCATTTCAGACAAATGGCTGTCCAGTCTCTTCTTAAAAACTTCCAGTGTTGGAGCATTCACCGCTTCTGGAGACAGGTTGTTCCACTGGTTAATTGTTCTAACTGTCAGGAAGTTTCTCCTTAGTTCTAGATTGCTTCTCTCCTTGATTAGTTTCCATCCTTGCTTCTTGTCCTGCCTTCAGTTGCTTTTCAGAATAGCTTGACTCCCTCTTCTTTGTGGGCAGCCCCTGAGAGATTGGAACACTGCTATCATGTCCCCCCTCGTCCTTCTCTTCATTAAACCAGACATCCCCAATTCCAGCAACATCTTGAGCAAGTAACCCACGATGAAGCAACCAACTCAAACTGCTAGCGACTCCACTCGGTAAAAAAAACTGACAATAAAGGTTATCTAAACCTAAAAATCGCAACATAAGACGCTCACGTCCGTTACATTCACACGTGCGGATGGCACACGCGTTTATACAAAAAAAAACCCAAACCGCCGACGCGTGCAAACCACAGTGAAAAGATCAGGCTGGGAGGGGGCGTGGTTCAGCCAATCCTCCCTCTTCTCTCTGCACCCCTCCCCTCCCCAGCCAGATCTTATTCCCCGAAGTTGGCAGGCGGAAAGGTTTCCAGGATTTGTCCCGCCTGCCCAAGAGGCTGGCCCCTTTGATTCCTGCCGCCGCTTCTTGATAAGAGCTCCGAGGCCAGCGCGGGAGGAGCAAGGTCGCGGGAGGCCTGGGAAGAGAGCTGGAGGATCCCCGGCTGATCTCCTTTGCAAAAGACGGTAAAAGGGGGATCCGGGAAAAAGGGGAGACGCTTATCCCCACCTTCCCCTCCGGGCTCCGGTCCTTCGCCGCAGCTGCAGAGGTTTTTCTGGACTTGAGGTTGGACGGGACCCCCTTGCGGGCTCTAACCCAGCAGTTGGGAGGGGAGGGGGTCCCGGGAAACAGAGACGCCCCCCTGGAAATTGGGGTGGGGGGAGTGAAGGGCTGGCGGGAGGGTCCCTTGGGGGGGGCAGAGGGGTTTCTCCGGACAGGTGAGGGCGGGGTGGGGTGGGGTGGGAGTGAGGGTCTCCCGGGTGAGAAATGCTTCTGGGGAAGCTGCAAGGAAGGGGGTCCCGTTTGGCCCCTCACTGCCATCAGTCCGGATCTGCCACCGGGTCTGGCCAGAGGGGTTTCTCCGGATAGATGAGGGGGGGATGGGGGTCTCCCGGGTGAGAAATGCTTCTGGGGAAGCTGCAAGGAAGGTGGTCCCGTTTGAGCCAGGTGAGGTTTGGGGGCCAGAGGGGTTTCTCCCCATGGGACAAGTTAGGGCGAGGGTCGGAGGCAGGGCAGGGTCCCGAGGTAGCTGCGGGGAAGGGGACTTGGGGACCCCTCACTCCCTTTTGGACCGGGTCTGCCACCGGGGTCTGCCTTGGCCCTGAAGACCCTCTGCCCTTCAGCTGAGTGGCTTCTGGAGATCTGGGGGGGAAGATGGCTTGAGAAGGGATCTGTTGGGGGATTACAAAGCCCATCCGCTCACTGGCCTGGGATGGGCCACTTGATGTCACTCGGAAGTCACGAACTTGGGGAAGGGTCTTTGTTGCTCCTCCTTTGGGAGCTCACTGTGAAGAAAGTGCTGCAGCTGCCCCATCCTCTCCCCAGCTGCATCTCCCCCCCCAAAGCCAGGATGGAGGCTCCGGTGTGCCTGGTTGAGAACAAGAAAAATCGCCTCCGTGTCTCTTCGGAGGGTCTCCAGTTGCTCTCGGACATCCGGAATCCGGTGGTGGTGGTGTCCATCGTGGGACTCTACCGCACGGGAAAGTCCTACCTGATGAACAAGCTGGCTGGCAAAAATTCAGGTGAGAAGATCTGAGATGAACCAGGACAGTATGGACCAGGGCAAAACCTGGGTGGGAAAATGAGCACACACACCCAAATCTGGGGTTTTCTGCTCCGATGGAAAAGGTTGTGCTTTCATTTTCCAAAATATCCTTTGTTAGTGATCCTGTGACAAGGGACCCTTAGAAATGATGTGATCTTGCAGACGTTTATCATCCCTTTTATGATAGTAATAATAATAATAATAATAATAATAATAATAATAATAATAATAATAATAATAATAATAATAATAATAATAATAATAATAATAATAATAAAGTTGGAAGGGACCATGGAGGTCATCGAGTCCAACCCCCTGCTCAGGCAGGAACCCTACACCATTTCAGACAAATGGCTGTCCAGTCTCTTCTTAAAAACTTCCAGTGT